CTTATCTCACGGACTGCGACTTTGAAATTGGCTGATTTCCGATCCGCTGGATCATAACACTGCCCTGCGTTTATTCATCAACCGTTGAACTGGCACTCGAAAAAATGCTTCGTCACCCGATGCGGTTTCCTTTGGCAATATCGTAGCCTGTCTCTGGTGGACCGTGACGTTCGTTTCTAAAGTGAAAAATAAGATTTATCGCATTCCTTCATCATGCGATGCTTCTTGAAGAGCCAGTTTGGCTTTCGTAAGCATATCTATGTATTTACGAATTGTAGAAGAGAATTACATGTAGAACGCCAAGAACACTGAGGAATGACAACAACTAAATTTATTCCGTCTATTGGGGTATTTAGTAGCACTCAAATACCTTATTTTCGTGGTCTTACGCATTTGTTTAGCTTCTCAGAACAGCATGGAAATTTATAGCGAAATCTTGCCTGTTGATTTGGGATATTTTTCATTTTTTTTTTGTTTTTTGTAATTACTCAGGGCTGTATTGTTAATTTCTTGTGCAACTAGAAATGGGTAAGAATAAAAGTAAATAAGTAAAAGGAGGAGCACAAATAGAATTATTGATGTGAATATAGATAGAAACGAGTTACAGGTGTCATTTATGTACATTATATATTCACAATTATATATAAGAAATTTTCCAGTTACTTTCATGGGAAGAAGTATATGCAAACGATGATGAGTTGCTGCAGCGAGAGCTTCTCGGGCTTCTCTATCAACTTTCGAAAACACCGGAAGGAGCACGACAGCTCGATATGTACGGGCCGGCACCCGTACTTGCCGAAGCTTTGCATTCCAGACACAAAGCCATTTGTAAGCTTTCCGAAAATTTTATTTAGATTTTCGCAAAATTATGGTTAAATTATGGCTACGTCCTCGTGAAAGTTTTTTACTGGTAAGTTAATGTCTCGGGAACCACGAAATCTAGCAGGCTGAAATTTTAGGGTAATGACCCTTTGCTCACGCTCAACCTCGCCTATTCAAATTCAGCGTTCCCGCGCTTTTGAGTATCATCTACGGCCTCGTGAAAGTTTTGGCGGGTAAACTATTAACTCGGAATCACAGAAAGATATTCACCTTTCAAGGTTTCGAATTCAGTTTTCATGCGCTGGTGGATGAAATTTTCAACTGTTTTCCAATGTTTGAGCTGTTTTTGCATAGGCTAAAGTCCGAAGCAGTGAAAATCATTAATAGGCAATCGTTCGACGGGCTGAATTGCACAAAGCGCATGATCGCATCGGCTAGTCTGGTGCGCGTTGCTATTTATTTTATGTGCCACGATACGACACATTTATTAAACTTATATCCATACCACACTTTTGATAAAAAAATTATCATGCGAGATTAGTCCACTAATTTATAGTGCTTCTGAAGCAGAAATCTCAGGACGAGAGTTCTTCTGTTTTATCTGAGCTCGTTGCATCAAACATATCTCATCACAGTGTCGTAATTGCATCTTTGTGGTCTGCAGAGAGCCAACTTAACATCATGGAACTGCAGAGGAATGAAAAATATCCTTTTTTTGTCTTTAAAAATCAACGTGCAAAGTCAATTTTTCCCATTTTCAATGGTTTTTTTGTTATTTTTCAGCGACGTACGCGTCCGGAGTATTGAAAAATCTACAGTTTGACAAGCCGCTGATATATCGTGAAGAGATTGATACGGAAATTGAGAGTGCCATGAATGGTGTTGCTGGTGAGGAATGGATGCACGATGGCCTGGAGCCGGAGCTTTTTTCCGAGATGTACCGCTCGTCGGAGATGGAGCATCTGGATCGTCCTCAGCCCTGGCAACATCCACCACCCTATCAAACAAACAATCGAAGTCCATCGTGGTTTGATACGGATCTTTGAACCTACTGCATTTTCATCATTATTGCAGTATTTTGATACTTCCATTCAGCTATCGCTTCATCGTTATTTGCGTAGCAGCTGCCCGCCTTTTTATTGTTACTAAGATTTCAGCTGCTTTTTCAGGTTTTTTTTTCATTTTTTTTTTTTTTGCTTTTTTTTTTCATTCTTTCAAGGAAGAATGCAAGATGAATCACATTCCCTTGGCTACTTCATTCGCTTGGCTTCTTCTGAAATACTTTGATCAGCTGTTGTTTCATCGTGTCACGCCTTCTTTCGACCATCGATGTATGTAACTGGTAACTTTTCAGTTGTTTGCTCTGTTATGCTTATCACCTTTCCATGGTATCGATAGCCTGTGCTCTTTTTTACATCACATAGGTACCATTCATTAATCCATTTCGTTGTTATTCCTCTTTTGCAACGTAATTGCCCTAGCTCTTCTTCCTGGCCACGTTACGGAACTCAGAAGACTATGCTGCAAATGTACTGCGTTTTTTTGTTGTTAGCAGATGTTAATCAGTATTCATTTAGTTACAGCTGACTTCTCATTAGAGGTCATTGAGAGGTTTTGGTCAAAAATTTTTTCTGAGGTTCCAAAATAAGCAAGAAAATTTGGGTTTTTTTTGCTGATGTTAACAGTTTTTTTATTTTTTGCTTCAGCCGTTTTTTGAGAAATTTGTAAAAAAAAAACCGTTATATATGTTTTTGGAAATATGAGTATACTGAAAAAAAAGCATAGATATCTGCGCCTCCGATAGCCTGGATTACTGATCCTTAACGACGGTTTAAGCCTTGTTATTAGCAGTGTGGTATATATTTTGCACACTTTTTTTTAGTTTGATCAGTTATGTTTTTATCATTATTTTTTGCATCGTCAGAATTTTCTGGTTTTTGTAAGGCTATATTTTTTATTTTTTCACATTTATCTTTATTTGTATGTGGGTGTGTGTGTGTGTATGTCTGTATGTTTATACGTCAGTGTTTATGTTAAGAATTTATGAGAAAGCAGTTTATTATGGAATTCCTTCTATTTTTTTGGTCATGCTTATCTCTCTTCCGTGGATAGCATTTACTTTCCTCTACTTTATCGATTTTGTTTTTTTTTCTCTTCTACTTTATTTATTACTCTGGGTGGCGAGTATGACGCTATAACAGGCAGCGCGCTTCTCGTGTAGAATGTCGAGGGTTCGACTGTGCCATTGGAGCAGCCAGTCTTTCTATGATCTATTTATTCGTTTCGATGGTAAATTGGTACTGGCATATGCTAAAGAATCAAAACTGCCATCAGTTTGCTTATAAACGATCGTAAAAATGAAAAACTTTCAACAGTGCTGCTAAGAGATAGTTACTTTTAGCACTTACTATCATTAAGACTAGTCCGAATCCCTCCACCTTCTCTTCGAGTAAGTGAAGAGGCTTATGCTCGAAATTTTGGGGGGCTTATTGCTCTGACCGGCGAGTAGCAGCTTAAAAATATATTGCAATCACAGTAGCTTTTATAATTATCCATTACTTCTACTGTATCATTTACTGGACCAATTTATTATCTGATAAAATCTCCTTATTCTTTGTTGTGTTTCGTCATTCCATCCGTGTATTTCGTAAGAAAGAATATTTCAAAGTAAACTGTATGGTTTGATGGTATTTTCTTTTTTTAAATTTGCACAATTTTTTTTTTTTTGGTGAATTTTCAGGATATTATTAGTAGTAATGAATGATTGGTTGCAATCGAATGGGTGAGAATTGTGCTGAGAATTTGTATTGGTCATAATTTCGTAACAGATCAGCTTCAATGGCATCTGAGTTTAGACCTGTTTGTTTTTTTGCATTATTTTCCGCTGAAAATTGATTTTTCGGAATTTTCCTGATTTTTTTATAAGCGTGAAGAATAATTCCAGTCTCCTTGGACCTTACGGCTAGTAAAAAATTCGATGAAAGTGCCATGTGATTATTTTCTTCTAGACCCCAATATTTTCTTTAGACAAGAACATGCTCTTTATTCACGTGATAAGGGCTGCATCCAAATCTATGCAGTTGAGGTTAACGATGATTTAATTCATCCTAATTGAGTTCGGTTCGGAAAACAGTCTACTTGATGGGCAAAGCTTTCCCAGTTGGTGCATTCACTGCAACTATTTATGAATCTCACGTTTGCCAATAATCTTGAAAAACAGAAAAATGTGAATCGCAAGTTTTTATGATATTTACAGAGCAATAAAATGGAAGTGGACGAATTAGATGACGCCGATTTTGAGGTGCATGAATGCGATCTGTTCGAGCACGAAGCATTCGTGGTGGATTGCTTAGCACTGAACGAACAGCAGGGTGTGTTGGCTGTTGCGCGACATGCTGATTCCAGGTAAGTGTTGGAAAGAGTAGCATTACTGCTGGCAAAGTGCAGTGACATAGTAATAAATGAAGTAAAATGGGAGTTGGAAGGAAGTATATGGCAAGGGCGTGCCATGTGTAAGTCGTTGCTGTCCAGTTTGAAATCCAGAGTGTGTAGATGGAATGATTCACTGTTTTTTCTCCTCTTCGCATCTCGGCTGGGAAGCTGGGGCAGAATATTGCCCAAATCACTCCCCTGTTTCTTCTTTCCTTTTTTCTTGTTTTGCCTGCTGGGCAAGCAGGAGGACCCGTCAGGGCGATGTAGCTTTGATCAAAGCAAATGGAAATTTTCCGCTTAATTCATTTATTTCAAATTGATAATAGTAAAGTAAGCACTGGGCTCAAGGAATTTGTGATATTTGGGAAATAGATTCGAAATTGGTGCTCACTGATCGGATTTTTTTTTGTTCCGTATACTCTAGCTACTACTCTGTCTTTATATCTTCACTTTCTCGATTTTACTTTTTCCAGTTTGCTTCATGCAGGCGTTCAAGTGGATCCTTCCCTATCACTGGCATCCTTGCAGCGTTTGTTTAGTATTTTTGTTTGGTTGTAGGAAAAGTTCTGCGTTGAAAAGAAAATTTTTTGCTTGAAACTGCTTGAAATTTTTTTTTATTGCTATACGGATGGATGTGGTGCCCAATGATAAGGAAATCTCTTTCTTCTCTTACCGAAAAGGCAATATTTCTCATTTTTGAAGGTATGCAGCTCAGTATCGAGGGCCCAGGTGCAGGTGTAACCAGATACTCTGGGACCTTCCAATAAAATCACTGATATCAAATCCCACCGGGGTTACTAGGGTTGTCTTGGTTTTCTTAATTTATATTTTGTAAACGTTAAGTTTGGCTACAAATTTATTCAGGAAAAAAAGTAAATTTGTTTTTTTTTTTGTCTCTTTCGACCTTTCTGCGACATCCGTTTTGCTTATGTTTCTTCTCAAATGTTAGTTATGATTTCCGACTGTATTCTGTTACAGGGAAGAAAGACGTGACTGTGTAATTGAATTCTGGAACACAATTGGTTCGCCAGTGTTTCATATCCGGACGACAGCACTGGGATCGAAATCAGCCGAATCACTTCTTTGGGCTGGTGACCTGTTGCTCGCTTCACATCTCGATGGTTCTATTACCGGGCATCGCCTGCACACATCCGAATACTGGGTAAGATTTATTCATTAAACAAAAGAAACAATCCCACAGATGAGCTGATGCACTGATTGCGATTCGATATGTTATCAAGGCACTCTTTTAATCCTGTTGTTTCGATTCATGGTCGTATGCAAAAAATGAGAAATGAAAGTCTGGAAGAGTTATTTTTGCTTATTTCTATGATTCTTTCATTTGTTTCGATGGTAAATTGGTACTGGCACATTCCAGGAAGATAAAACTGTAATCATCTTGCTTATAAGCCATTTTCGAAAGAGTGACCATCAACTGCCTTACCAGCGGTTACTTGATGTTGGCATGTGAAATTGCCACATGGGCTACTTTTGACTGACCCCGTCACGCGTGGGAGTGAATATGAAAGGGCTTTGAATCGTATTTAGCGCTTTAGTTCGAGCTTAGGCATATAACGTAGCGCAAAGGGGGGGGGG